GGTTCAGCAACATATGACGGCTAAAGCAAATTTAGATTTTTTTTAAAGTAAAAAAATATATGTCGAGTCTTTTAGGAAACATATGAGGACACTTTTTGCAAATATATAAAATTTTGTTGACAATATATGTGATTTTTTTATTTTATAAAAAACTTATTACAAATTTTTTTTTTGATGGGCCTAAAACTTAAACTTTAACAGTTTTAATCTTGGGTTGGATGGTTCGAATAATAGTAAGGGATTAGAAACTTTGTGTTCAAACTCGTCGAAAAGTCAATACATATTTTCTCCCCCTTTTTTTATAAGGAGGTATAAACACTTTTCACCTGGTCGATCAGTATTTTCAATTGCGCCTTCATGTTAAAGGTGGGGTTAAACCTTTTGATAATTTATGGTTAAAAAATACAAGTATCAAACCAGTTGAATTAATGATTTTTTGGCACATTTACCCTCTGAGATACACATGCATTCAAAGGGAAAAAAATGTATAAACTTCCAACAAGAACGTAAAGTTTGTTCATTTACTTTGATCTTATTCATTTTCAATTTTTTTTGTTATTTATTTTTTATAAATTTGAATTATTTACTTTAATAATTAATATATAAAATTGTGAAAATTAATTGAACTTAATGTAACATGAAAAAAAATATCTAAATATACAAATTAAATGATAATGATAAACAATTGAAAACATGATAATATGAATTATTAGGAAAACTAAATTGCATTATGTCTCGGCTTCGAAAACATCAACATCTACAATATGAACTAATGCATTAACCTGAAGAAAAAAAATCTTATAATTAACTTATAAGAGGTGTAATATTAAAATGTTATAATGATGTAGTAATTCAAATAGAAAGAAAACAAAATTAAATTTTTACCTTATACAGTAATTATGTAATGACTCCTGAACACATCCATCATAAAAATTTTTTCTTGGTGAAATGCTTGAAAAATTGGTAAAATTAAAATTAAAATCATGATATTTTCATCAACTTCATCACATGGGTTTGACTTGATCTCTATGTCACCATGTTGTTCATCATCCTATAAGAAAATTTTCGTATAAGTAATTACAAACATTCTTAATAAATAGTTCAGATGTGAATACATAATAAAATTGACAAAACAAATAACCTTGATTGAATTCAATAGTTTAAATTGACAAATCATCTCCTTATCAACACTTAGTCTCTTCACTGTATAACCTTGCTAATGGTGATCTATGTTGGATTGAGTTATTTCAATCATGAAAAGAAAATCTTTGTTCAATAATGCTTGAAACTCAATAGGAAGAACATTTCCCTTTTTTTCCTAGGATTAAAATATAGCAAGTTAACAACCTATGGTAAATATATTCATAATAAACAATAAGAATGAGGTATGATTTTTGACAACCTTTTCATGTTGTTCCTTCATTTCAATAGGAGATTTTCCCAAAAACAATGTGACAACATGGTTAAACATGACAAAATTTATGGAACCAGTGTCATCAATGACAGTGACATGCAACATGAATCTAACAAATTTTGAGGGCACAAAAAAAGTTGAAGGTTAAATACTTAAATTATGTAACAAAATTAAAAGAGATAAATAGATGCATTATGCTAAAATATCATATTATATTTTTTTAATATACATACGTTTCAGATTATACCTAGTGACTCCAACAACAATCTTCTCACAATGTTCACAAAAATACTTGCTTTCAAGATTGATAACTTTTTTTCGCACATTTGTTGCATGAATTATAATGTCAATCTTTGTGCTCATCAATTTCAATAATCTTTCCCAGAACAGTGCAGTAGCATGGCTAATTACATAATAATAAGGGTTTAATATATTAGAAAGAATAAATTTAATGATTAAATGTACTTATTAAAATTTGTAAAAAATAATATTTAAAAATAACAAAACCTGAACACAATCAACAATATTAGAAGTTGTCATTCGTTGCGTTTGCAAGAAATCATCACCCATAGAAGTATGACTAACACCATGACTCATAGTAGAATCACATTTGTTCAACCTATGAAAAAAATCAAAACACTTAAATACAAGAGTACTTCTTAAGCAACATTAAAAAAATTGACCATGCATTAAATAGTTTTTCAAGTTAAAGAAAATGTGACCTTTCTCTATACTCCAAATCATGCTTAATGTTCGGATTAATGAGAAGTTTGGTACCGTTGTAAGAATTAGAGACACTCTTTTTCCCTTAAAACAATTAAAGCAAATAAGTTGGTTATCTATGCTTTATATACAAATTGAAAATATAAAAAAAGATTAGTTTCAGAATGCATACCATTGAAAACATTTCGCTTGCATAGTTGCAATATAACAATTACAGCATTGTTACTTGTGTTTTTTGAAAGGAATTCATCCATTGTAGCAGCAAATTCATCCCACAAAGTACACATAAGTTTGTTACTCCTACAATGAATACAAATATTTTAAAGATAATGCTATGTTGTACTTGTAAAATGAAACAAATGACTACAATGGGTAGCATCATTTATAAGATACATACAATCAATTAAATGCATTATAATTAAGGGAAAATTCACTAATAGTGTGTCTGGATGAAGAATTTTATAAATTCAAGGAATTTTAAATTCTTGGTATTTGAATTACTTTGATTTCAATTTTTATCATTCTTAAAATATTTTGTTTGGATGAGTCAATTCAAATTTCTTAAATTTTAAATTGTTAGGTTGAATATCATAATTTGATTCCATCAAAGTAAAATTGATTTTAAAAATATATTTATATATTGAGATTTTTAAATTAAATTTTATAAAAATAAATATTAATCTATTTTTAAATATTTAATAATTTTAAAAATTAATATTAGATAATATTTAATAATTTAAAAAATTAATATAAGATAATATTTAATAATTTTAAAAATATTTTTTAATATCCAATAATTAAAAGAGTGAAGAGATAAGATAAAATATATAGGTGAAATAAGAAAAATAAATATGAGGAATTTCAAATTCTCCTATTTTTGGGAGAATTTGAAATTGTACTATTTTAAGAAATTTCAGAAATGCTTGGATTTCAAATTCTTTGTAAATTCCTCATCCAAACAAAGTATTTCACCTCAAGAAATTTGAAATTCTTCAAATAAATGAATTACCCTATATAAATTTCTCATCCAAACACACCATAAAGGAATTTGTTTGCAATGAATTCTTAAACTCTGGCAAAATTGAATCGAATAAGAAAAAATTGAAGTGAAGGACATATAATGCGTTGACAGCAAAATAGAAAGATCAAATTGGAAAAACCCAACAACACTACATAGAAATTCATCAATTAAAAATGCAAGAATACAACATGACTACTGTAGTAATTAGCCTTAAACAAAATGTTTTGTACATACAAAAGTGGGGGTAAGTTTTTTTTAAAAAAAGATATTGAGTTGTAGAATTTGGTTAAAAAGAAAAAATTGAAAGATTTGAATCAGACTAATTTCATTCGTTTTCAAATAAGGTTATTATTTGAATTATAATAGGTAAAAATAATTAAAAGAATAAAGGAAAAAAATACATTAGCTTCTAAAAAATAACATACGTGCAGAAAAATTTATCAATGTCTTTACTAAGATCATTGACTCATTGTAATTGATTCTGGAAATAATATCTTTACTAATCATATTTTTTTTGGTGAAGATGAAAATTTCAAACAGAAGCAAAAACAACAATTATATTATCCAATAATGAAATTTATAACTGTTATAATTTATGAAAAAAAAACTCTTTATCTACCAAAATCATCTCCAAGGAATTTGTTTGCAATAGATTCTTAAACTCTAGCAAAATTGAATCGAATAAGAAAAAATTGAAGTGAAGGACATGTAATGAGTTGACAACAAAATAGAAAGGTTAAATTGGAAAAATCCAGCAACACTACATAAAAATTCATCAATTAAAAATGCAAGAATACAACATGATTACTGTAGTAATTAATCTTAAACAAAATGATTTGTACATACAAAAGTGACGGTAAGTTTTTTTTAAAAAAGATATTGAGTTATACGATTTGGTTAAAAAGAAAAAATTGAAAGATTTGAATCAGACTAATTTCATTTGTTTTAAAATAAGGTTATTATTTGAATTATAATAGGTAAAAATAATTAAAAGAATAAAGGGAAAAAATGCATTAGGTTCTAAAAAATAACATACGTGCAGAAAAATTTATCAAAGTCCTTATTGTAATTGATTCTAAAAACAATATATTTACTAATTATATTTTTTTGGTGAAGATGAAAACTTCAAACAGAAGCAAAAACAAAAACTACACTATCCAACAATGAAATTTATAACTGTTATAATTTATGAAGAAAAAAAACCTCTTTATCCACTAAAATCATCTCCAAGGAATTTTTTTGCAATGAATTCTTAAACTCTGACAGCCTCCACAATCTTATTATACGAACTCTTATCTTTCGGTCAATTCTCCACGCTGCAATGTCCTTTAGTAATGTAAACCTCTAAGCCATGTTCTTTAAAAAGAAGATGAAAGTAAAAAAGGATAAAAATTTTAATAATATGTTTACTATACATCAACATTGAAACAACCAACCTTTAAAATTAAAACTTCATACGAGCTTACCTAAAAATGTTTTTCCTTTGATTGATAGAGAAAGTGTGAATCCTCAGATTAGAAGTACAAAAGTACCCAAATCAGAAAGTGAAAAATGTATATATGGAGAGAGTATTTTTAAAAATAGAAAGTACGATGAAACTGGACAATTAGAATGAAGTTTAAAAAAAAATGCTTTAAAAATTAGAGGATAGTTGATATTAATTGACATTGAAAAGCTACAACTAATATATAGAGAATAGATATTCATAATTGCTTCTCTGAGTGAAAGACAAAATGCAAGCAATTTGATGAAAAACGTATAAAGCAGAAAGGAAGAGGAATGGTTTTTCTTTTGTATAAAGCAAAGAGAAAGAGGAAAGGTTTTTCTTATGTTCATAATTTATTAAAATAAAAAAATAAATTTCAGAATAATTATGATAAGATAAAATTACATAAGTACTTTTATTTTGAGCGGGAAAAAAGAATTACAGCTTCTTTTTATTATAATAAAGATAAAGATTTATTTATTTATTGCATTAATACGCTTTTTAATTAAAAATTTTCTTAGTTATTACCATTGAACAAGTATTACTCATAAGGAAATTATTTCTATGCCTAAGAATCATAAGTTATGGAAATCATGATTCTTATGAATCATAAAAATTTATTTGATTAATCATAAAGATTTTTGATAATGTTTTTAAATGTAATATGAGAATCAATAATTTTTAATGCATTAAATAAGTAAATAAGGGAGCATTTCGTATACAATAAATTTTTTTATGCTTGGAAATCATGATTCTCAGGAATCATGAAATTATTTTTGTTGGTCATAAAAGTTTCTGAGAGTATTTTTAAATATTATTAAAAAATAAAGATCTTTATTGAATTAAATAAATAAATAAAAGTAACATAATATTTTTACCACATTAAAATTTCATTTTTACAAGTTAGTTTTTTACCTTCTACATAAAAATAATTTTGTGGAAACCTATGCAAAAATTATTCCCTAAAAATAATGTTTCCTATGAATGTTTTTTTTTCTTTCTAAATAACATATCAAATGTGAAAAATTAATATTTTTTACATAATATTTTTAGAAAAGTAAATTTTTTTGTACACCAAAGGCTCTCATAATATGTTTGAATTTCAGTTAGAAACGATAAACAGAAGTTGATTTTAATGTTTTCTCTTCCTTAATCTTTTTAGTTGTCTAGCAACTAGTTCTGCGAACAAGACAAAAAGCACACTAAATTTTCTCTTGTCATCATAAACTTAAACTTAACAACCAACTATATGCTTTAAAGATTTGATTCGAGTCATCAATAACTTGTCAACTTGAGCAATCTGCTTTAAGGATTTGATTTGAGTCTTAAATTGCTTATCAAATCGAAGCAGGGTTGTCAAAATATCACTGCCAACAAATTATATTGTAACAAAATTTAAAATCATTCAATTTTTTTTTGTGCTCCCACCATGGTCCAAACTATGGGCACGCGTGGTACAAGCGTATAAGTTGCTTGAATAGTGCGTTAATGACCATCATAGACAATGGCTTCTGACATCCTCGTCCCATCCAATAACATTAACAGCTGCACGAAAACGTTGAAACTAAGACAAATGAAACGTCACTATCTGATTTGCACATCTTGCATTTTAATCTTCATTGATGTGCAAATGGTGCTGTGCTCAGACACCGTCCCACTTGGCACTTGGCATTTTGTGGAAAAAGTGTATTGGTTCACCTTCAAAATGCTGTTCAATATTTCAGTATGCATTAGTCAAGATGTTTAGGTGAGTTGACACTCCAGCAGAATATATCAGAAACTGGTGTGACCATTTTTTTAATGTAATTTTTTTAGGTGCTATATCCAAAAAGGTAAACAAAAAATGGATTAACTAGGTGGAGTAAATCAACCAGCAACACTTTCTGTTAAAAAAAAAATGCCATGGTATTTTACATTTTATCGGTATGCAGAATACTATTTCCTCCTATGTATTTAAAATAAAATGCATTGTTTTTAAGATTGAATGATTAACTAGCTAAGGCAGTGAAATGTGTTATTATCCTCGACAATTATCTTTCTTCCTTGTAACTTACATCACCGTGATGCTTTTACGCAATCTGGATACATCCTTAAAATTTTCCATACTCTTATAACCAACTAAAAGCAGAACAGATAGCCAACTTCGCACTGTAAACAAACACCCACTATCTCCTGCTTTTCTTCTTATTCGACATCCTCAATACAGAGCTTTTATCAATAATTACATATCCTGCCCTCCTCAATTTGACCTTGAGATTACCTAGTAAATTATTGATATCTGCTTGTTCATGTGGTCTGTTTTCCACAATGAACTTATGAGTTATGCTCTACCCAGCTGGTGGCAGTAGTTTTCTTCACTCCCTGTTTTCTCATTTTATCCCTGATTTTGTCAACATCTTTCCACCTACCAGCCAAAGCATATATGTTAGAAAGCAACACGTAATTGCCAGAATTATGCGGCTCAACCTTGAACAATTTAGCTGCAGCATGTTCCCCGAGTTCAACTTGTTTATGAATGCCGGTAGCATTTAAAAGGGATCCATAAATTCCAGCATGGGGCTCCATAGGCATGCTTTGAATCAGCTTCATAGCTTCTTCTAATTTACCAACACGACCTAACATATCAATCATGCATGCATAGTGGTCTACATCAGGAGCTTTGATTGATTCAAAAACTTTCCGACCCTCTTCCAATAACCCTGCATGACTGCATGCAGTCAAAACACCAATATATGTTATGCGGTCTGGTTCAATACCATCTTCTTTCATTTTGGACATCATCTTGATGCTTTCCGTTCCATGCCCATGGGCTGCTAGCCCAGAAATCAACGTGTTATAGGAAACTAAATCTCTGGTTGCCATTTCTTGAAATATTATTCCAGCATCTTCCATACTCCCACATCTTAAGTACATGAAAATCAAAGAATTGTATCCTGAAATGCTAAGCTTGATGTTATTTTCATTGAGGATGCTGACAGCCCAATTGCCTAAACCTAATCTTCCAAGTTGTCCACAAGCAGAAAAAACGCTCACCATAGTCACCTCATCTGGTTTTGAATTTTTACAAGAGATCATTTCCTTAAACAGCTCGATTGCCTTTAGTGACTCGCCATTTTGAGCATAACCAGTAATCATCGAATTCCAGGAGACAGTATCCCTTTCTGGCATCTTATTAAAAAAGTCTCTTGCCAAAGATAAATCACCGACTCTTGCATGAGCAGAAATCATGACATTCCATGTAATAGCATTCTTATAGACACCCAATTGGTCAAAAATCTTCTGAGCTACCTCAAGGTTCCCGCACTTAGCATGCATATCAAGCAGAGCAGTCTTGACAAAATAATTTGAACGAAAGTTCATTCTATCTAGCTTTCTGACAATTGACTTGGCAAGGCAAGGATCACCAAGAGATGAGCAAGATGAAAGGACAGTTACCCACGTTGTTTCATCTGGTTCATTTCCAGAGCTAAGCATGTCACTGAACAATCTTACAGTCTCTTGTGCTGCTCCATTTTGAGCATATCCTGATAGCATCGCATTCCAAGATACCACACTTCTTTCTGGCATCGTATCAAAATACATCCTTGCAGTCTTCAAATTTCTCATCTTTGCATGTCCAGTGACCATGGTAGTCCAAGTAATAACATTCTTTTCTGACTCGTCCATCATGTGAAAAAGTCTACTTGCTTCCTCTTCATTCCCGCACTTCCAGTACCAACAGATGATGACGTTCCAATCTGCAACGGTTCTATCAGGCATTTCATCAAATTGTTTCCGGGCAAGCTCAATATGCCCATATTTGGCATACATACCCAGAAATGCATTTCGAACATGATGATCGTGACTATGTCCCAGTTTCAGTAGATGAGCATGAAATAGCATGTTGGCCTCTCCAGCAGATTTTATCAAGACCGGATAAAAGGACGTGTCAGGTTTAATGTCATAGTATTGCATATGCTTATAGAGAGAAACTACTTGTGTGGTAGAACCGATTCGGGAGTAATATTTGAGCATGCAGGTAAAGACATGTATATTAGGGTATGTTGCTACATGAAAAATATTAGAGGTGTAGTTGGAGGGTGCATGGAGGCGCGTGCATTGGGTAAGGAGAAGCGCCACCCAGCGATTGTGATGGTGGTGGGAGTGGAGGACTAGCTGCGCATGGAGCTGTTTAAGATGATGGAGATTGGTTATTTTGCTTGCTATGGTTTTCTTGTTCCAAGGTGACATGCCAGGGCGCAGTTAATTATGCAATTTCAGAGTTAAACAAGACCGTGATGTTGGTAATTGAAAGAGGTCAGGCTAACATGAGTTACATGACTCTATTCATGCTTAATGACCATCACAGACAATGCCTTCTGACATTTTCGTCCCATCCTTTAACATTAACAGCACCACAAAAACGTTCAAACTAAGACAAACGAAACGTCACAATCTCAAGCGCACATCTTGCATTTTAGACTCATTGACGTCAAATGGTGATGTGTTTTAGAATGTGACATTGACTCATCCTACATAACATTTTGCCCCATCTTAAAACATTAACAGCAACACAAAAACATTGAAAGAATCCCCACTTATATCCTTCATCTCTCATGTGAAACCTGAATTTTTCTTCATATACCCCTTTATGTCTAATACTATTAGGCTTTGATGTGTTTATAAAAGGTTAATGGTACTTTTAATGGATCTAGGATAGATTTATGGACTTCGATTTCTTTCAATATCCTCGTTCTCACTCAATATTATTAGACTTAGTGTGCATATACATAATATATCATTTTGTGAGTTTGGATCTAATTCAATTTTGATTTTTAAAGTGAGGATGTGGGGCATGTTTAAAAGGTGGACGGAACTTTTAATATGCATCCAGGACACTTAGACTTTTTCCAATATTGTGCTCACACCGTCCCACTTGGCACTCGACACTTAGCATTTAAGGTGGTGATATAGTGGGGGTGGTCCTCTGATTTCAAGTCTAAATCTCACCTCTTATAGTTATGCCCGCGTGATCACCCCACCACAACCTCCGGGTTTCTTCTTTCATTGTCTCCCGCTACACTTTAGGCTGTCTCTCTATTTTTATCTCTTCACCAGTCACGTCACGTCACATTCCTTCATCTCTTTGCAATTGAATAATGTAATGATTATCATAAACTAAAATGTACCACACAATCACTTGTCTATAATTTAACTCCATTAAAACACAGCTTTGGCAGCCATTTAGTAACAGTAGTAGTTGTAGTCTCTCCCTCTTTTCTCCTACCTCCTACATACATAATTATGCAGCTTGCCTATCATAGAATCTGGATGAATTTGCTATGCTTTGCATTAACATTAATCTTATTACATGGAGCATCAAGAGAAAGAGCTTCCGGACATGATGATGTCGTCAAAATCGGTGCCATATTCACATTAAAATCTATAAATGGACAAGTTTCCAAAATTGCCATCCAAGCTGCTGAGAAAGATGTGAATTCCGATCCTCGCATCCTGGGGGGACGTAAACTGTCCATAACTATCCATGATTCCAACTTCAATGGTTTTCTTAGCATTATGGGGGGTATGGTACCGGTATCACATCTTTGTTTTATATTCTTAATAGACAATATAGTTTGGTATTCAATATTCATTCACTTCCTGGCTAATTTCATATATATCATTCTTAATCCATGTATTTTGTTGGTTGGTGCTAACTTGTGTACGTGATGACAGCCCTGAAGTTCTTGATGAGGGACACAGTAGCTATAATTGGTCCACAAACTTCAGTAATGGCCCATGTTCTTTCGCATCTTGTAAATGAGCTCCATGTTCCCCTACTGTCCTTCACGGCTTTGGATCCCACCCTAACACCTCTCCAGTATCCTTATTTTGTCCAAACAGCCCCCAGCGATCAGTTCCAGATGACTGCAGTAGCGGACATGATTAGTTATTATGGTTGGAGAGAAGTCATAGCAGTATTCAGTGATGATGATCAGAGTCGAAACGGCATAACTGTATTGGGGGATAAGCTTGCGGCCAAACGATGTAAGTTATCTTACAAAGCAGCACTGCCCCCTGATCCAACCGCCACTCCGAGAGATGTTACTAGTCAGTTAGTGAATATTATGAGTATGGAAGCTCGAGTAATCGTTTTACACACCTACGCAAATACAGGTCTCTTAGTTTTTGACGTGGCTAAAAAACTAGGAATGATGAGCAAAGGGTATGTCTGGATAGCTACTGCTTGGTTATCAACTGTTTTAGATTCCACTTCTGTTTCACTACCTTCAAATACTTCTAACTCAATTCAAGGAGTTCTTACTCTTCGCCCTCACACCCCTCAATCTAGAAAAAAAGAGGCATTTATCTCAAGGTGGAAACACATAAGTAATGGCACAATTGGGTTAAATCCATACGGACTCTATGCATATGATTCTGTTTGGATGATTGCTCAGGCACTAAGATTATTTTATGATCAGAATGGTACCATTTCATTCTCTAATAACACAAATTTAAGTGGTACGAGGGAAGAGACTCTGGATCTTGGTGCTTTGAGCGTTTTTGATGGAGGAAAACAGTTACTTGATAACATATTGCGCATTAATATGACTGGATTGACTGGACCTATTCAATTTGGTTCAGATAGATCTCCTCCACATCCATCATATGACATCCTTAATGTAATTACTTCAGGTTATAGGAGAATCGGTTACTGGTCTAATTACTCTGGCCTCTCTGTAATAAACCCTGAGAAACTTCTCGCAAAGCCTGCCAATCGTTCAATTTCAAGTCAGCATCTAAACCATGTGATATGGCCCGGAAATACAATAGAAAAGCCTCGTGGATGGGTTTTCCCAAATAATGGGAGGCAACTGAGAATTGGAGTCCCCAAGAGAGTTAGTTATCGAGACATGGTCTCACAAATAAATGGCACCAATGCAGTTCAAGGATATTGCATAGATATATTCCTAGCCGCCATAAAATTACTTCCATATGCAGTTCAATATAAGTTCATTCTGTTTGGAAATGGACTCCAGAACCCAAGCTACTATGATCTTGTCAACATGGTTGCTTCTGATGTAAGTAATACTCACAGGATTACAATTTCTTTATCATTTATTTGCTTTTATTGATTGTATTGCGCTTGCATCTACAGGTTTTTGATGCTGCCATAGGTGACATTGCTATTGTCACTGACCGAACAAGGATTGTGGATTTTACTCAGCCATATATAGAGTCCGGGCTAGTTGTGGTTGCTCCAGTAAAAAAATTGAAGTCAAGTGCTTGGGCTTTCTTGCGACCATTTACCCCAATGATGTGGGGTGTCACTGCATTTTTTTTCCTTCTTGTTGGAGCAGTGGTGTGGATTCTTGAACACAGAACAAATGATGAGTTTCGGGGGCCGCCAAAGGAACAGATTGTTACAGTTCTTTGGTGAGTACTAAGTACTTGTCTTATTACTAAATTTTACTTCCCTTTTGAATTGACTCTCGTAGCTTCATCTTTGTATGCTGTTGCAGGTTTAGTTTCTCAACTATGTTCTTTGCGCACAGTAAGTCTACCGATTTTGACAGTTCATGTCGTATTCATGAAACACATTCTAGTTTGTCTTTGTTGCTCTAAACAAATTAGGTTCTTTATTGTTTCAGGAGAAAACACAGTTAGTCCACTTGGTCGAGTTGTATTGATAATCTGGCTTTTTGTGGTTCTGATAATCAACTCAAGCTACACTGCAAGTTTGACATCAATTCTCACTGTGCAGCAGCTGTCTTCACCCATAACAGGAATTAATAGCTTGATATCTAGCAGCGAACGTATAGGGTATCAAGTTGGCTCATTTGCTGCAAACTATCTGACTGAGGAACTCAACATCCCCAAACATAGACTCTATTCTCTTGGCTCACCAGAAGAATATGCTGATGCCCTTGAAAAGGGAACTGTTGCAGCTGTGGTGGATGAACGACCCTATGTAGAACTCTTCCTTTCAAACCATTGCAAATTCTCAATTAGGGGCCAAGATTTCACCAAAAGTGGATGGGGATTTGTGAGTATCTTTACAATTAGTATAAAGTGGACTTACTGGTGCTTTTCTCAAAATCAACCTGGAATGTTTCGGGGTGTATTTTATGTACTTTATTGCAATAACTAATAGCTACTAATGCAAAAAGCAAAGCATAATGGTAAAAGGTGTGAAATTTTATAAAATGGGAGGTAATAAATCTCAAATTGAGTATTAAAAAAGTAGATGTTTCTGAATTGCAATCTTTATGTTACTTGTCTTGATTAATTTACGCCGTTAATAAAATATTAACGATTGAATTTTCCCTTGATTTGTTCGGTGTCATGGTAGGCATTCCCGAGGGACTCTCCTCTTGCAATTGATATGTCAACTGCCATTCTAACTCTATCTGAGAATGGAGAACTTCAGAGGATCCATGAAAAATGGCTTTCAAAAAGAACTTGTGGTTTTCACAGTAGTGAGAATGAACAGCTTCAATTTAATAGCTTCAGGGGTCTGTTTCTAATATGCGGGATAACATGTGTCCTGGCGCTTCTTATATACTTTTTCACAATGTTACGCCAATTCAGTAAAAAATCTCCTCAAAAAGCTGGTCCTTCTAATCGCTGCACTTCACGTTCTGCACGCATCCAGACATTTCTACATTTTGTTGATGAAAAAGAAGAGAAGAAGTTGAAAAGAAAACTTGAAGATATTTCCTCAAATAATTATAGCAGGGAATATCGTTTGAGGAGCATATCCAAGAGAGTACAAGTGGACATTTCTCAAGAGGCTCCCAGTAGTTAAACTACAGTAGACCAGACTTGTGTCATTCTCCGTAGAAATTTTCTGAAATGGATATATCCTCCCAAGTCCTAATGGTCAAGCCAAAACGTCTCTTCAATGCTCCAACAAGCCAATCAACCACACTGCCTGCTCAGTGCTCAATATATGTGTTTAGTACTATTAAAGATCGTTTGGTGGATCATGATTCGCTTGATTATTTTTTCGCTAAATATTTATATATTTAACTTCGTGTTAAGAAATTGTTCAAGTTAGAAATAATTTTAAGTGATTTTCGTGTTGAATAAAAATTATTATATTAACTTATATTTAATGCTAACTTATTTTTAAAACAAAACTTGTTAATTTAAGTGAAATTAATATTTTGACATGTTATATGTCAAATGTTTATTATATTTAACTAATATGTATTATATTTAAATATATAAATTATACTTCAAATTTTATAAATAGATATTTATAAATAATATATAATATTTTTATATTTGAAAAATAATTTACATCGTAATATAAAATTATTTTTAATTATTAATAATTTATTTTTAAAAAAACTTAAATTTAATTCATAAATAAATATGATAAATAAAAATTTAAATTAAATTAAAATTAAAAATTATTAAAAATATTCTCATTAAAAATCTGTTATCATTATTATAATAAAAGCATGTGACTCTCTTTTCTTGCTCAAAATAAGAGTATTTATGTAACTTTATCTTGTCATAATTATTTTGAATTTTATTTTTTAATTTAATAAATTCTAAACCTTTAAATTTAATATTTCTGAACAGAAGAAAAACTATTTCTCTTCCTTTTTGCTTTATACGTTTTTCATTAAATTGCTTCCACTTTGTCTTACACTCAAAGAAGTAATTATGAATATTTATTTCTTATGCATTGATTACAACTTTCCAATGTCAATTAGTAATTCTTATTAATAGAGAAACATTGCATGAGATCTGAGGCCAATTATATAATATCATAAACCCTTCATCTTCCTCTTCCTCTCTGCTTCACACGTTTCTTGTTAAATTACTTGCGCACTTTGTCTTCCACTCAGAGAAACAATTATGAATATCTATTTCTTATGTATTGGTTGCAATTTTTCAATGTCAATTGATCTCAACTATCTTCTAATTTTTAAGGCATTTTTCTTTTTAAAACTTCATTCTGATTGTCCTAATCCATCATACTCTCTATTTATAAAAATACTCTCTCCATATATACATTGTCCACTTTCTGATTTGGGTACTTTTGTACTTCTAATCTGAGGATTCACATTTTCTCTATCAATCATAGGAAAACCATTTTTAGGTAAGCCTGTATGAAGTTTTAATTTTAAAGGTTAGTTGTTTCAATGTTGATGTATGATGAACATATTATTAAAACTTTTTTCCTTTTTACTTTCATCTTTTTTTTAGAGGATATGACTCAGAGTTTTACATTACTAAAGGACATTACAGCAGGAAAAATTGATTGGAAGATAAAAGTTCGTATAATAAGATTGTAGAGGCTGTCAAAATCTAAGAATCCATTGCAAACAAATTCCTTGGAGATGATTTTGGTGGATGAAGAGGTTTTATTTTTTCATAAATCATAACAATTATAAATTTCATTGTTGGATAGCGTAGTTTTTTGTTTTTGTTTCTATTTGAAATTCTCATATTCACCAAAAAATTATGATTAGCAAGGATATTATTTTCAGAATCAATTACAATGAGTCAATGATCTTAGTAAAGATATTGATAAAAAAAATTGCATGTATGTTATGTTTTAGAAGCTAATGTATTTTTTTCTTCTATTCTTTTAATTATTTTTACCTATTATAATTCAAATAATAACTTTATTTTAAAATTAATGAAATTAGTCTACTTCAAATAATAACCCTTTTGTAAATATATTTATTTAATTCTTTATTTTTTATTCATATTAATATATTAGCTTTTACTTAATAGTCTTTCCTTGATAGTTATTATTTCTAAATTATTTTCTTGTATTTTTAATTGATAAAATCCTATTTAGTGTTGCTAGATTTTTCCAATTTGACTTTTTTATCTTGCTGCCAAATCATTACATTACCTAAAGTTTAATTTTTTTCTTTTGAAAATATTGTTTTAACCTAAATGAAAAGTATTTTTACTTTTTAACATGATTGTATATTAAATTGATATTAGCCTTTTCTTAATATGTTTTTTAAGTTCATTTTTATTTCTATTAATTAAGTAGATTGATATTGCTAGGTTTTAAAATTTAGTAATTCTTATTTCCTTTTCATTTCAAATTTATTTATTTATTTTTGAGTTGATTGACATAACTTTATTCTTTTTAGTTGATTTATATATTACTCTTTGACTTGTAACACTGATCACATACAATTATTAATGACCTTAGTGTAATTGTTAATTTACTGATTTGATTCAATTAAGATATGAAATAATATTTTTAATCAATTTTTTTTATTAAAATACAACATGACTACTTTTTAGAAGCTAATACATTTTTTCCTTATATTCTTTTAATTCTTTTTACCTATTATAATTCAAATAATAACCTTATTTTAAAACAAATGAAATTAGTCTAATCCAAATCTTTTAATTTTTTTTCTTTTTAACCAAATTCTACAACTTAATATCTTTTTAAAAAAAGACTTACTGTCACTTTTGTATGTACAAATAATTTTGTTTAAGACTAGTTACTACAATAGTCATGTTGTATTCTTGCATTTTTAGTTGATGAATTTTTTTGTAGTATTGTTGGATTTTTTCAATTTGACCTTTCTATTTTGCTACCAACTCATTACACATCCTTCACTTCAAATTTTTTTGATAGTATTGTTTTAACATGAATGAAAAGTATTTATACATAATTTCTTATGTATTAATTACAGCTTTTTAATGACAATTGATAATTTTTATTAACAGAGAAATATTGCACAAGATCCGAACTGAATCATATAATATCATTAATATAAATGTACATCAATCATATATGCTATAAAAAAATATTATTTCATATTTTATTAATTTTATCTTTTAAATCATATAATTGTCCGAGCAGTGTCTCTTTGTGTTGCGTTACGGGGATGTGCATTTATTACAGGGTGGCTTTTCAGAGAAATGATGACAGGGCCGCCACGTGTCCTGAAACGTATGGAAAGCTTCAATACCAATGGATGTAACACTCCACGCATGCGCCGTAACTCTTAAATGCGAGCCTTTACGCTAAACGCTGCGTTTTCAAATTGGCTTCTTTCATATGCCTCTTCGTTCTTCCCCTTGTCTATATATACCCACGAGCCCTCCATTGTTTTGGTCTTTGTTTACTCTCCTCCCATTTTTAGGCTTAGCATCTCTTTGGCGGCGGTTCATTTTTGGTGGTCCACGGTGGTTGGCGGCGTTCCGGTGAAGTTGTTTGAGTGAGGAGGAGTTGTTGGGTTCCCTTAGGTACGCGTCTATTTAAACCTGTTGGTCCTTTTTGTTTTGCAGAAAAAACCTTGAGTAGTTGTTTAATTTAATTTGTTCATCTCTAATGGCTTCCATAAACTGTGGGGAACTGTATATGTGACACCCTCTACCCCATTATTAATATACAACAAATGTAACAATAAAATAGTTCTTTTCTTCTTATTGGGTAAATAAAATTTTTCATAGTTGACAAATATTTCAGATATCACAAGGTAGAAGATTCACATTCGTATCTCATAAATCATAACTCCAGTGTAAAAAAAAATTATAAAAGAAAAGAAGTTAAGATTTTCAATACAATTTAGTGAAAAACAAGAAATCATATATATACAAATAATAATAAAGGAAATATAAATTAACTCCAGTAAAGGTGGCAGTGCCTCCTAGTTAGGAATCAATTTATATTTTCCAAATCATGTAATAAAATATAACAAAGATATTCATTCTGGTCTTTTATCAAGAACGTTCAAATTACAATTCTTAACATACAATTTCCTTGAATTATAAACTTTATCTACGATATCTCTTCGTTAGAAATTACAAAGAAGAGAAACTAAAGTTATTAAAACAATAACATATTAAACTAAAAATAACTATGCCCCGATGTCACATCCTATCAGAGCATGCCC